TAATCCCAACTACTCAGGAGGCTGAGGCAGGAGAATTGTTTGAACCCAGGAGGCAGAGGTTGCAGTGAGCTGAGATCATGCCACTGCACTCCAGCCTGGGCAACAGAGCGAGACTCTGTGTCAAAACAAATACATACATAATGCATACATACATACATACATACATACAGGGAGTGTTAGAGCAGACTCCAGGAGAAATGCTTTCTATATGGCATTCTTGAGGAGTAAGGAGGACCTCAACCCTACTCCCTGAAATGGAGCTCTGAGATGCTTGGAGCAGAAATTTGCAAACCAGAGAGGGAAGTAAGGGTAGTGTTGCAGATGCATTGTATGTGGGGTATCGGGAAGTCCCAGGAGTTTGCCTCAAAGTCTTTCTTGGGGAAGGATGAGGCTTTCACTGTGAGTTTCCTGGTCGTGGTCTACCCATTAGTGACATGGATCTTCATAAATTCTAATGTGTCTTTTCCTCCCTAGTTTACACATACCAATTCTCTCCAACTTGCGTCACCATGCATTTGTTCTTTTCCCTTGTTCTTGTATAATCTTTCTGGAAAGGAATTTGTTATTGTAGGCTAACTGTCATTCCCACCAGTATTTGAGTCCTTTTCATATAACTCTTGCCAGCATTAGATATTTCATATGATTGATCTCTTCTGATTTGGAAAATAAAAATGTAGCCTTTTTATATTCATTTGATTAGTGGAGACAGTCAACACATTTTCATTTACTTTCTTAGCTGTTTGTTTTTCTTGTCTGTAAATTATCTGTTTAGGTCCTTCAATTTTTCAAAATTGGGCTCTTATGTTTTCAATATTGTTATGAGTTCTTGTTTCAATTATTTATGAGAGTTTGTTTTCTTTTTTAAAATAGACTCTTTTTTTTTTCTTGGAGAAATAGAAAATGAAAATGAAAATAGACTTTATGTTTTAGAGACTTTCTGGTTCACAGCAAAATTGATCAGAAAGTATAGCGAGTTCCGGCTTTAAAAAAAAAAAAAAAAACCTTTAATCCCAGCACTTTGGGAGGCCAAGGTGGGTGGATCACGAGGTCAGGAGATCGAGACCATCCTGAGTAACCTGGTGAAACCCGTCTCTACTAAAAATACAAAAAATTGGCCAGGCGTGGTGGCGGGCACCTGTAGTCCCAGCTACTCAGGAGGCTGAGGCAGGAGAATGGCATGAACCCAGGAGGCGGAGCTTGCAGTGAGCTGAGATTGCACCACTGCACTCCAGTCTGGGCGACAGAGCAAGACTCCATCTCAAAAAAAAAAAAAAAGAAAAAAAGTTTAGAGAGTTTCTAAATACTCCCTGTCTTCAACACCTGCACAGCCTCCTCATTATCCACATCCTACACCACTGTGGTACCTTTGTTGCAATTGATGGACCTACATTGAATCCTCATTTATCACCCAAACTTTGGTGTTGTACATTCTGTGGATTTGTACAAATGTATAATGACATGTGTCTACCATTGTAGTATCATAAAGAAGACTTTGACTGTCCTGACAGTGCTCTGTTCCACCTACTTATTCTTCCCTCCCTTTTCCTAACCCCACAACCACTGATTTTTTTTTTTTTTTAAAAACAAGGTCTTGCCCTGTCACCCAGGCTGGAGTGTAGTGGCGCAATCACTGCTCACTGCAACCTCTGCCTTCCAGGATCAAGCGATTCTCCTGCTTCAGCCTCCCAATTAGCTGGGATTACAGGCACATGCCACCACCCCTGGCTAATTTTTTTTTTTTTTGTATTTTTAGTAGAGGTGGGGTTTCACCACGCTAGCCAGGATGGTCTCGATCTCCTGACCTCGTGATCCGCCCGCCTCATCTTCCCAAAGTGCTGGGATTACAGGCATGAGCCACCACGCCCGGCCCTCAAGCATTTTATTTTTAAACCTATGTGGAATTTATTTTGTTATATGGAATAAGGTGGTAGTCTAACTCCCTCCCCTCAAATATGTAGTTATTTTTCCCAAAGCCGTTTGCTATTGATTTATCAAGAATAGACATATATACATATATAATAGCTTTCCATATGTTTTCTGACCCTTGTGAAGGAAATTGTGTGAGTTTCCAACTTTGGATTATGCTCAGGTAGTAACTGAGCTGGGTTCTGCCAGAGATCAATGTTAATTCACTATCCAGATCTTCCACAGAGTTATAAAAATCTAAGTTTTATGAAAATCTAACAGTATATCACTGGTTTAATGATCACAGCCTAGGAAGAATGGGGAAATGGTCAAAATCTTACGTGGATGCACCTGAAAAAGGCCACTGCTGAACCCATTTCCCTGATAGGCATGGCTGCTGGTACCAGGGGCAAACTCCTGGGGTCTATATTAACCACCTACATCTCCCTCTCTTCCCCCACCCCTGAGATTTTCATGTGTCCCTTAAAAATCTATGTCCTACTTCCCTTGGAGAGTCACTGCCATTGAACACTTTAAACTGTGAGTCCTATGAAGATGAGGCTCGTGAGTGTATTGCTCCCCAGTTGTTTCTCTAGCACCTAGCTCAGTATGGGATATAAAAATCTGAATGGATGAACAAACCACTATTACCGGTGGGAATGTTCTACTATCTTACATGGTTTGAGGTGTAATAAAGGTTGAGAACAGCTATATAATGGGTTCCTTGAAGGGCAGCAGTACATCAGTGCAGTCAGCCCACCTTCTCCATACTTCTCACTCAGAAAACTGTAAAGTTGCACCTAGCAATCAACTTCGGAGCTTTAAAAGGGACTGCTACCTAGCTCTCACCCTCAAAGCTGCAGTCTAGCACCCGTAACTTTTTTTAAAAAAGTTTTTTCGGCCAGGCGTAGTGGCGCATGCCTGTAATCCCAGTACTTTGGGAGGCCAGGGTGGGCGGATCACCAGAGGTCAAGAGTTGGAGACCAGCCTGACAACATGGAGAAACCTCATTTCTACTAAAAATTAAAAAATTAGCTGGGTGTGGTGGCACATGCCTGTAATCCCAGCTACTCGGGAGGCTGAGGCGGGAGAATCGCCTGAATCCAGGAGGCCGAGCTTGCAGTGAGCCAAGATCATGCCATTGCAGTCCAGCCCAGGTGACAGTGCAAGACTCTGTCTCAAAAAACATAAATAAGTACTATTAAAACTTATTTTTACAGGTTGGCTATCCCTAATCCCAAAATCTGAAATGATCCAAAATTTGAAACTTTTTGAGCATAGACATGATGCTCAAAAGAAATGCTCATTAGGATATTTTGGATTTCAAAATTTGGATTA